ATGTAGGTATTATAGTTGTCTAGAAAGTTGTACTATTTTATCTTACTTAGAAAAATTCACMATATTTGTGATCATATTCTTTAAAAAAATTCCCAATATCTACTATTTGCTACATTATTTCTGCTCAGATTTTCCAGATCTTTGAAACTCAAAGAACCAACTAGTTTTGTTTTCTATATAATTAATTTATGCTGTATTTTAGGGATTTAAATTTTTAAAATTTATTTTGATACTCTTTTTCKTGTGTTTTTAACTTTAATGCTTAGTTCAAATTTATTTGCTATCTTTCTAGTTTTCTAACACACATATCTAATACATATACACAGACATACACATATTTTCTTACAGTTATGCTTTAGCTACAACCCTCAGGTTTTGGTATTTCTTTAAAAGCTATTCACTTCTAGATTGTACAAATCAAATGGCGGGAAGCTACAGAAAGAGGAGCTGGATATGAGTCTCCTTAACCATGTGGAAGGATACAGACATACTTTCTGCCTCTGATAAGTGCTCTCGTTTCTTTCTTCTTCCTGTATTCTTCTCTTCTTCCCAATAACGTTTGCCTCTACTCTTCCCCTTTTCAGAMAGCTGTCTTTTTCTAATTGAGGAGTCTGGAGAACTCAAATACTCCCACAAATGGCTTGCATTTTCCAGGCATACTCATCTTCTAAAAGTGGATATAATGAGAAAACAGTAGAAAAACTTTAATGCAAAGAAAAAGAATGGTAGGTAATCTGTGACGGAAATTATAGGGTGGGGAGAAGAGTAAAGAAAGAAAATTGATAGACTTCTGGTGTCTCTAGGATACCATAATTAGGGAAACTAGTCATGCTGCTTTATATGAGGGGAGATTCATACCCTTGCTCATTGTCATAGATGCAAATAAATTCTCCAGAGGGAGAGGTTAGAGGCCTAAGAGCTGCCTCTCTGAGCAGTGTGCAGAACTGAGTGGTAGTAAAATAAATAAGATGGTTTAATTTTTTCAATTATTAGGCAGTTACTGAAACTTAAGCCCTTTGGAACTGAATGAGGCATATTGCGCATTCTCCCTACCATTCTATCTTTGTAGTTACTCAAGTGGTCATAACTACAAATATGTATATTCTGAAAAAATGACTGTGGTGGACAAAAAAAAAAAAAGGTCTTTCAAAGATGAACCTATAAAACTGCTACCTTGCACATATGGTAAAAGGTTCTTTGCACATGTGACTAAATAAAGGATGTGGAGATGGAAGGATTATCCTGGATTATCCACACAGGTCCAATGCAATCACAAGGGTATTAAAAAGGGAAAGAGGATGACAGGAAAGTCACAGTCAGAGAAGGATATATGACAAATAAGTGATGAACCTGCTGAGTGCCAAGATATGTGAGACGCTTCCAGAAAGAGAAAAAATCAGGGAAAGGGATTCTCTAGAGCTTCCAAGAGGAAGACAACTCTGGCAACCCCTTGATTTTATCCTCATCAGACCTATTTTGGATTTCTGACCTCTAGAACTGTAAGATAATAAATTGTTTTATTTTAAGCCACACTTCTGTGGTAACTTGTTAGCAGCAATGGAAAACTAGTAAAATGACAAAAGTCATGAGTACAGTAAGCCCAGGGAAGGCATCTGGGCATAATTGTTGGCTGATAATTCCAATCTGAGACCTATTGCTTCTCAAACTGAGTATTGTGATTGGTTTGGGTTTTGGGTCCCTCCATCACCACTATTCTAGGCTTCACAAATATACAATACTGCATCACTATAATACTGGCCAACCTTGGGAACTTTGTAAGTTACTTGAACTGGGGGTCCTAATAAATTCCTTGCTACTTGAACTGGAGTCCAGGCTTTGAAGACCAACTCTTGAGAACACCAACACCTCTGATGAGGTATCATTTCTCTATACATCATTGGTGCCACCCACTACTAGTTAGATTTTACGCAGTAAACCATCTAGGTTCTCACCTGGGTCTGTTTTGGGCTCCTTGAGTCATCCATCTCCTGGGCTTAGTGTCTGCAATTACTTGAAGAGCGAAGAATGCTATTGAATCATGTTCAAAGAAGGCATGTGCAATGGTAAGAGTTTAAGCAAAGGAAGACCAAAAAAGGTTGAGGGAAGCATGGAGGGGGCTGGTTAGAGACTATTGCTGTGATTTATGCCAGGCAAAGGCAGGTAGTCCACATTCCAGCTATAATGTGCCCCAAATTCGCAGAACATGCTAATCAGCAATTAAACATGGAATTTAGAATAACTTTATTTTTATTAGATGCTTGAAGAATGAGTCTAACTTTACTTTCAGATATTTAGTTATTGCATCCTTTTCATTCACCTATACACCAGAACTTCAGCATATCTTTAGTTCTTTTTCCAAACTTCTCTTTGCTCTTCTGGAAAAYGCAAAGCAGTGCAAATATTGAACATCGTATTCTAAGCTTGGACTAGATTAGACATTTAAATTTTTAATCTGGGTAAAATCTATTGGTTAATTACTCTCATTTTTTAAATTTTTTTACATTTTTAAATTTTATTATTATTATTGTTTTTAAATACATGACAACAGTGGAATGCATTACAATTCTTATTACATATATAGAGCACAATTTTTCATATTTCTGTATATAAAGTATGTTCATGCCAATTTATGCCTTTATACATGTACTTTGTTTTTTTGCATTATAATTCTTAATACACATATATACTACAATGTTTCATATCTCTGTTTGTATATAAGGTATGTTGACACCCAATTCRTCTTCATACATGTTCTTTGTATAATGATGTCCATCACATTCCAACATCCTTGCTAATCTCCTGCCCTCTTCCTTACCCTCCCACACCTCTTCCCTATCTAGAATTAATCTAATACTCCCATGTTCTCCCTCCCTACCCCACTGGGTCCTAAAAAAATTATATTCTATTGTGTTTGCAAGACCCTGGTTCATTTCATTAGTAGCTTAAGATATCCAGTCATAAACATCTCTAACACTCCACTCAGATAAAGGTTAATTCTGAGCTCAATCTTAGTTATTCTTTCCTTGGGGACCTGATTTCAACCCTTTAACATAAGCCCAAGGGGAGTTCTTAAGTTCAGACTTCCTGTTAATTTATATGTTTTGACAAGAAGAGCTAGGATTATGCATTTATGGCTCAGATTTTATTTCTAGGATAATTCCCAAAGGGTGAAAGTCTATTGTGTGTTTTGGTGGAGAACATCTGCCTTCTGTTTCACTTTTTGAGGGCTTGAGTAGCAAAGAACCAGGGARAGCAGGCGGCTCACATTTGGATGCCCCTTAAATGTTAAATCCAATCTTTAATTGGAATCCAAGGAATTCTTTTTTTTGAAGAATCTTTTTTAAAAAATATTTTTTAGTTATAGATGAATGCAATATCTTTATTTTGTTTATTTATTTTTATGTGGTGCTGAGGATCGAACCCAGTGCCTCACATGTGRGAAGCAGGCGCTCTGCCACTGCCTCAGCCCCAGTCCCCCAAGGAATTCTTGAATTTTGTAATATCCACAGCCCTCAGCACTAACATTACTTTTTCATGCTGCCAGAAGTTTGGATGAATTTCTTATAAGAAAGAGATTTTCACATTTAAAATATTTTAACAGAGTGCAGAATTTCTACCATAATTATTAAACTACATAATAGACATAATGAAGCAGATAAATATTTCTTGGCATTCATAGAAAGTGACTAAAATGTACTGGATATGAACGATTTCTAGTCTTTTAACCATGTTCCGAAGTTGGAAACCTTGGAGCAGCCTGCCACCTTCAGGATAACTTCTCAATTAACTCTGTCAGAGAACWCTCTAGTGTCTATAAATTCCAAATACCAATCCTGGTAAAAAACGTTTCATTATAATCAACGGAGGGAAGCTATGCTCCTTGTAGAGGTTTTGCTATGATTAAGCATGATATTTAATAAAATTAATYTTCTTTAACTAAAACTGTCCCTTTCTTCAATTCAGTTTTTCTAATTTGATTATCTTTACACCTATATTCATTTCTAACTTTAGAAAGGTTAAAAACAACCCATCTATTTCATTTTACTAAGAAGAATTGAGAACACTAAAAACAGATTTTGCTGCCAGAGTCTGTGAAAAATATTTTCCAAAATAATTTTGGAAACTACTTCCTTCCTCTTGGTTTTCTTTTATTATGGATTAATCACAATATTCCTAAATAATCTTTAATAAAAGTAGYATTAATGAAACACAGTCTGAAACGGAGAGGAGGGAGACTGAGAGAGATATTTGCTTTTCCCACACTTATGCTTTCAGTAAGTTACACTGACCTCTTGGGGCTCAAAGACTCTGTAAGGCAACAGAGATGAGAAATGAGGTAGGAAAAGACAGGACGGCTGACTCCTTGCTTAACAGCATGGAGCAATAAATAAAATTAGTTATAAAAACAAAGAGAAAAGAAATGAAAGCATAATTAAAATCAATATTATCTCAGTGAGTTATGAGAACGGGATAAAGATCATGGAAAAAGAAAACGGTKGCTTGAAGAGGCTTTGGGCAAAGGGATAGGAAAATAGGGCACTGAAATGAAAGAGCAGTTTAAAACAAATGCCCTTTGAGAAGGAACACCCTATTCTTATTTTCCTTTCACAAAAGGAAGACGGGATAACTCGCGGACCTGGTTTGTGAAAGGATCAACTTCCTTAGGACTTTGGTTCTCAGCTCGCACTGCAACCCTGGAGTCACGTGGGAAGCTTTAACCGAAGCCAGGCCTCACTCCAGTTCAGCAAGTCTGGGGTGGGGCGCGACCTGTACCTATCCCAAAGCTTCTGGGTGTGTGCGGGGGTCTGGGTCCTAGGTACCCTCTCAGCGTCCGCCCCTCCCGCGGGAAGCAGCCAGTATCCTTCAGGCTGTAGGCCCGGAAGGAAGCGCCTCTGACACTCTCCGGGCAGAGACGCTGTGTGTAGCCTCCTGACCACGAGGGGGCGACCAGCGCTCACGTACCTTCTATTTCCCGGCGCGCAGCCCGCTTGACCCCAGCGTGCGCACACTCCGTGCGCCCAGAGGTCACCGGCGCCGGTGTTTTCCCACGTGCGTTGTGAACCTGAGGGCATCATGTTATGAAGAGATGGGGGCTCGGGTGACCCGCGCGATCAGGAATTTCAACATAGAGAACCGAGCAGAACGGGAAATCAGCAAGCCGAAACCCTCTGCGGCTCCCAGGCACCCTTCCACCAAGGGCCTGCGAGAGCAGATGAGCTGTGAGTGGAGCAAGGACGCGGCGGGCGCTGGGTCGCGGGGTCACCGGCTCCCCGGCTCTCAGTGCGGGGCTCGCGGTTCTGTACCGTGGGCCTCGGTCCCGAGGCCGGAAGACCTGTGTCAAGTTGCTCGGCCGCARCGGCTCTGATCAGCCTAGCGCAGGAAGGTGGAGCTGCCAGGCTGGTGACATTGAGGTTGTCCCCTCCGCACAGCGGTGAGGTTGGCGGCCCCTACCACTTGTCAGTCCCGGAGGTGGTGGTCAGTACCATCGCTGACCTTGCCCTCACCTGCTATTGTCATTAATCGTTGGCAGTTTGTTGTGGCATATCCGAATCGGCAGGAATCATGTGCTGCTTAGGGTCATCACAGAAGGATGGGTGCCAAGCCTGGCCTAGTATTTCAATTTACATTTAAAATATTTTCCGAACTTTCCAAACGATTATTTTAAATGCCTTATGTTAAGTATTTGGGATCTTAAAGGAAAATTTTCTTTCTTTTTTAATAAGTGATTTTTCTTTTTCTTTCCTTAGGCAACCCAGAAGTTAAGGGAGAAATTGCTAGAAAAGATGACAGGCTGCTCTCATTACTAAAAGAAGTGTATGTTGAGTCCACAGATCCTGTATCTTCCCTGCGGGTAATGTGTGTTTTAATTAAGAAAATAGTTAATTTGCTTATTTATTTTGGGGCTTCAGGAAGATGATCAAGAGAAGTGTGCTAAGTAGTAAAAAAAAAAAAAAAAGTGAGCATTCAGCAAGGGTTTGTACTTGTGTCCAGAGTCCAGGCCTTGGCAAAGTTTAAGCACAGTGTTCTAGGCAAGACACATAGGACCTGGTTCATTTACCAGAGTTCTAAAAGACTTATGAAAGTGTTGATTGAGTGCACCTGGGTAGATTTTGGTAGTTGTAATTTGAGTAACAAAAGGATATTTTTAGAACTATTATTCTCCTGTGAATTGAGGTATAGTCTAATCTTAGGGACTCCTTTGAGTTGTTGGGTTTGTCAGAGCTTTTTTTGTTTGTGTTTTGAAGTGTGTTTTCAAATAAGATATGTAAAATTAGGATTACAGAATACATTTGCAATGGGCATATTTGTTAAGTCCATATAGTAGACAAGTGCAGGCACAGTGCTCTGTGTTGAGCAACACCTGCTTCTTACTCTCACAAGGCTTATGATGTTGTGAGGGAAACAGACATTAAACAGATGAACATGCATGCATACAAATACATAATTATAGACACTGTGGAAGTGTATCAGAGGGATCTATTTGAAATTGAAGGATGAGGGATGGCTTCTGAGGAAGTGATATTTAGGCTTGGGTCTGAAGGATGAATTAAAGTTTGTCAAGGGAGGTTCCGAATAGGGAAGAGTTAGATTAAAGGGCAAGGAAGAACCAACCACAACTTTCAGATTTTTTTCCATTCTAAAATTTCTCTGGTACTGTCTATAGACAGGCGTAGCCTGCACAAATATATGATTGATATAATTTTTGTAGGAGAAATAAGACAGCATTTGAAAATTGTATGTAATAGTGATTTTAGGGTATAGTTATCACCAAAGGCTCACATAAAAAACACATAATTGTACATGTTATGTTATTTTTAAACAGATATTGAATAATATTTCCAAACATTGTTTTTCTCATGTTATACTAATTCAGGCTTTTGAAAATTGGCTCTTGGGGAATGAAAAAAARTTGAACAGTTACAGAAAGATATTTAGTGGTATTAAAATTTCAGGAGCAATAGAGAAACTCTAAAATGAATGAGTGAAAATGAAAAACTGAATTGCCTATTTAAATTCTTTGCTCCCTGCCCTTTTTTCCTTTTGATAAGTTTGAGGTGCTTTAACATCTTAAAAGTCTTCAGTATTTTTTTCTAGTGGTTTTCTGTGATATATATATATATATATATATATATATATATATATATATATATATATATATATATATTTGGCGGGGGGGGGGGTAGTATTTGCTTGGCATTCAGTATGGTGTTTATTGTATAGAAACTCCTTTTCAAATGGATGGCCAGTTGTCTAAGTGTAATTTATTGAATTCCCCAAATTTTTTTCCCACATTTTTAAATGCTGCTATACATGCATATATAGGWCTGCTTATGAACTCATCAATTCTATTTATTTTTCTATTTTTACATTAGAATTATAGTATTTTAAGTACTAGAGCAGTGATTAAGCTATACTGAGGGATTGGAGACATTAGTTTATTTTTCAGAAGAGACACACTTTCTAGCAGTATTTGAATTCATTTGAGATGTTTAGGGTATTGAATATAAAATGCAAAACTCRAAACAAAATAGAGGTTATCAAGTAAGCATGACAATGGTGCCCTTTTAAAGCAGTTTGATTATTTCTTATTAGAAATGCTTGGAACCAGAAATGTTTCATATTTTGTATTTTGTATTTTTTTGGGGCGGGGATACTTGCTTAAGAGATATCTTGGGGATAGGACCCAAGTCTAAACATGAAATTCATTTATATAGCATATGTACCTTATACACATAGCTTAAAGGTAATTTTATACAGTATTTTTAGCRTGCCTGCATTTTGACTACAACTTATTACAGGGAGTCAGGTATGCCATTTTTCATTTACAGCATCCTGTTGGTGCTGAGAAAATTTTGGATTTGGAGCATTTCAGATTTCAGTTTTCTAAAGCTACCTTAATTCCTTAGTGATGACAGAGCTATAGTTATGAAAAGGCATCATGGTATAGTTGCCATGAAACCATGGCTCATTATAATGAGAAAATGTTTGCAGTGTTTATTTGAAAAGGAATAGTGTAAATTTGAGAAATGTGAAAGAAGATTCCAAATCTTTCATCCTAAAATTCACTTTTCTTTCTTTTTGGATACTAGGTGAAAACTACTGAAACACAGCAAGAATCAAAGGAATTCAGATTGCCAAAAGGCCACCATTTTGATATGTTGAATATTAAAAACATTCCCAAAGGCAAAATATCCATTGTAGAAGCATTAACACTTCTCAATAATCATAAACTTCATCCAGAAACATGGACTGCTGAGAAAATAGCTCAAGAATACCATTTAGAACTGAAAGATGTAAATTCCCTGCTCAAGTATTTTGTTACTTTTGAAGTCAAAATTTTCCCTCCTGAAGACAAGAAAGCAATACAATCAAAATGAAGAAAGTGATGAAACTGATTTTCCCATATGTACTTCCCATTCCCATAKCCTTTTTATTTCCTCATTTTTAGTATATAAAATTATATAAACTACTGAGTGTTTAATGTTCCCTGCTTTGAGAGCATACTATTTATTGATCTGACTTTTCAAGATTGGTTATGGATTTGTTTTGTTTTCTTTTAAATTAATTTGGTTTAGGCATAGTTCCTATGTGTATGTCAGCATGGCTAATCAGAACAGTTATAAATTTACTGTAATTGAAGGAGATATTATGTTATKTTAGACATATGATATCAGCTTTTAAATTGGTCTTTTGACCTGAGTCCCACATTTAAAATTCATAAGTCTTACCTTCCAGTTTAAGTGGTTAGTTCATTCTGTCAGGGATATTGAAAGTAAGTTTTTTGACTCCTAGGACCATGACATTTTTTTGTTAGGGAAAGAGAATAGAATAATAATATTTCCCAAATAAAGACAGGCAGGAGGCTGGCTATGAAATCAGTGAAAAATATATTTATATCATTACTTTTGATGAATAAGAATTGGCAAGGATTTTTTTGTTTTGTTTTGAATTGGTTCTAAGTATGGAATAATGTCTTTTAAATTATAAGAAATAACTAGTAATGTTTATAAAGTATGGAATAATGTCTTTTAAATTATAAGAAATAAYTAATAATGTTTATAAATGTTAGCAATCTGCTTAGACCGAAATGGATCAGGCCAAAAGCTATCAGAACTATTGGGGGGGAAGACTATTGGGGAAAAAAAACAATTTTTCTCTTGGTTTAATTTAGAAATACAAGAAATTTTTAAACAGTTAAAGAACCAGGGTAAGGGAAATTTGATGATCAAATTATATATAAATATTTAGTTTTAATGCTAGTTGAAAGAAGAAAGAAAAATAGTAAGTGGAAGCATAAAATATGGTCCTTGGAAGGAAGCTGGGAAATTGCTGCTTCATTAATGTAATAAACTTAAAAGAACAACAAATATCTGTACTAGGATCTTAAGCGAGATTGTGTAACTTTAGCTCAGCTTAATAGATTACCACCTATGAGATCTTGGGTAGATTGTGTAACCTCTTGAGATTAAATTTCTACTATAAAATGAGTATAATGCTGCCATAAATATAATGGTTACTGTGAAGATAAATGAAATAGTAAAGAACTACAAAGGACCAAGCAAATATGAATTTTTTTTCCAGTTGAAAACATACCTGAGGATACATGATGTAAATATTTGTAGTTCATGACAGCCAGACTCAGAATTGAGGTTTTCAAAATCATAGTGTATTTTTTTCCTATTAGACCAAAAATAAATTTATTTCAAAGGAGCAGAAGGTGGGAATTGTGGAAGATGGGTTTGTCAATGTGTTTCCATCGCTACTTCCCAGAGATTCCCCTGGAAGTGGTATGGAAGATGCTGAGGAATTCAGCATGATGATAGAATGACACATAAGTGGTAATGCTGAAACAGAAAGTGGGCAGAGAGATAGGCAACTTGGAAACTTGTTTTCAAATACTGTGCCATGTGATAAACTATACGTATTTTATTTTGTTCGACACAGTARTTTTCAAGAAAATATGAAAGAATGCTAGCCAATAAAAATTTTTATTTTCAAACTCCTTTCARTCAGTCAAAATTATTTTCTGTAAAGATCAGTACTTGAATCACTGGTATTGTTATTTCYGAGCCACCTTTTGTGTTCAAAGCTATATTGTGTGATTAGGCATCTGTAAATATGGCTTCTCATATWGTGTCATGTGATAAAATAAAAGTACTTCCCGTATCATTCTTTAGTCTACTGCTTTTTATTATGTATAGGAGAACACTTGGGTAATAGGAATATCACAGAGAATGGATGGTGTTTAGATTGACAAAACCTGGGTTTATATCTCATCATTACCACTACTATATCCTCTTGGACTTGTTAACAATTGAAAAATAGGTAATAATAATGGCTAACATTTTAAAATTAATTACTATACTAGACCCTAATCTAGGTGCCATACATATATTAACTTGATCAATATTTTCCACAGGTATAAGTACAAATGTATTTTACCTTGAAAATTGAAGCACATGAAACTTTAGTAACATTAGAGATTACTTAGTAAGTGTTGAAGCATGAAATTTAAGCCCTGGTAGATCATTTTTAGAACCTTGTGCTCCTAACTGCTATGCTGTGTTGTCTTTCTGTAGGATTATAAGAATTAAGTGAGATGACTTGCAGGTCGCCTGGGACTTTAAAAGGCCAGAACCATTCAATGCTTGCTTTATATGAAAATCCCCTCCCCTCTAGAGCTCTGGGAAAATAACAGATAACTGGGACTCCTCTGCTATGAGAAACTGGTTTATTAAGCTTAGAAGACTCCTGGTAGGTGGATTTTGGATGTGAGATTGTTTAACAATARTGACCAGTGATTGCTGAGTGTATACGGATTGACCATCTGCATTGTCCGGGTCTAAAGTTTATTATGTATGAAATTGAGGATTAGGGGAAAGAAGAGTGGCCTTGAAGGAATTTGAAGGATTTCTAAGTGATGAGGGAGAAGGAAAAAATCCTCCAAAGTAAGCAGGGTCATATGAGGATAGAAGGAAGTTAATAGGTAGGTAGGAGAACTGGGATCCAGGGAGCTGGAAGAGGAAGAGCTGACCAAAAAGAGAGGTCTGCTGCAGAAAAGCGGATGGATTTGGCAAAGTTCTACCATAGGTAAATAGGATAACCTTATAATCTGTTGCCTAAATTGGGACACTTGAGAGTAAAAGGCCAATCACATGAGGACAGTAGACATAAAATGGAAAAACTAGGAAGTGTGATCATTCTAACCACAAAATAACACTATTCAAAGTCTTAAAGGCTACCCTGATGTAATCATCTTAACTTCACCTCATCAACATTTGGAATCTTACTCAGGAATAATTCCTGTATGTGACAAAGGGTTTTGCTTAGTCTGCAGATATCTGCATGAACATCCCTTTATCCATATTTACTCAATGCCATTTAACATACATAAATCCAAGAAAATGGGAGTTGGGGTCCTGGAGAATTAGTGGTATATGAGGGAGCTTCTATAAGCATACTTAAAGGAATTGAACTGAAGTGACTCAAAGCACTATGCTTAAAAATAGCTTGTTGGGTACAAATTGAAAATGTATAAGAAATGAACAAGGGGCTGGGGAGGTGGCTCAAGTGGTAGCGCGCTGGCCTGGAATGCGTGCGGCCCGGGTTCAATCCTCAGCACCACATACAAACAAAGATGTTGTGTCTGCCGAAAACTGAAATAAATAAATAAATTAAAAAAAAAAAGAAATGAACAAGTATAAAAGATTAAAATAGTTATCTGCATTTCAAATAGCCATCACTCATCKCTTGATAACTATATTACCTTACTAGTTCTGACATACACCAGTCCATGAAAAAGTTTGCAAGAGTGATATCTGTTTTTATSTGGCTACTCCATTTTTTCTGCATTAGGAATAATAGAACTGGGTTACTTGATAGGGAAATGAAATATCAGAAGCACTTACTTGATCTAAATCTACATAAGAAAAAATGAACTTTAAATTCAGAGCATTTGGGTGGCTATAGACTCCCCACGCCTTTTTTTTTCTTTCTTTTTTTAGCTTGACCTGATCACACCATTTTTAGTCATAACCTCCATGGTTGYCCTTGGTTGGTTTTCCCTGCATGGTTTCCCTTATACTATGAATAGTCAAAATAAGAGTGGTATGTGGAGCTTTATGGCTGGACCTTGGTACCAGGAATGTGCCTGACTCTGATATTGGYTTGAGATAAACCAGGTACATTTTTGGCTTGGGTGAAGTCACTTTTGTCCCGACCATTATTATAAACCCCCATTATTCTGACCCATATTGTAGAGGTCCACCTGAATCTTGCTACCACCCAGAACCATGCTGATGTCACTAAGACCTCAGTAAATCGCACTCTGCAATCCTGGATCTCCATGCCTCTTCAGTCACATGAACTAGCTTTGGGAGCTAGTTCTCAAACACTGAGAATGGGTTATTTCGAAACAATTATCCAGCCAAGAAGACTAAGGAAATGTTCAAGGAGAAGGAGCATCCTCAGGAAAAGTCCTGGGCTGGCCATCTAACTTCATGTGGGGAGGCTTGGCCCATGCATTAGAGGTGTATAGCCCACCAAGTGAGTATGGGTACGCTATGAAATCACTGCTRGATTTGGAGCAGCTATTTGCTGAATGCTTCTTATCCCATTGCTGTTAGGAAGAGTGATGTCTCACTGTTAGTGGAATGGCTGTTGCTGTGGRCAGTTCAGTTTGGCTACCAATGTCCATCTGGCTGGAGGCAAGAGTATAAAGACTTCAGGAAAAGTGATACAAGTTGAAAGAGATATACGTCTGTTATGGTTTATATAAGTGGTGTGGCCCCAAAACTCATGTGGATTAATCCACTGATWTGGATTAACTGGGTGGTAACCGTAGGCCAGTAAGGTGTGACTGGAGGAAGTAAGTCAYTGGGGCTTAGTCTTTTAAGGGTTTATATTTTGTACCTGGTGAGTACAACTTGCTTTCTGYATTCTGGGTGCTRTGTCCTGAACTGCTGCCCTTCCACCATGATGTTCTGCCTCACTTTGTGCCCAGAGTAATGAGGTTGGCCAACGTACACAGAACTTCTGAAACTGTGAGCCAAAATAAACTTTTCTTCCTCTACCTTGTTGTCATTTCTTTTGTCACAGCAATGAAAAAGTTGACTAGAACATCATCTCTCTCTTTTACCATAGACTGTAGCCTGGCTGAGAAAGTTGAAGATCAGGACTCCAAGCTAGATATCCTAATTTGCTGTTTTGTGACACTGAGGGAAAAGTGGTGGAAGAGAAAACAAGTATGGACTGTCATCTGAAGATCAGAATGCAATGCAAAGAACTAGAATCCCTGGGAGAGAGGAATGAAGAAGAACCTGAGATTGAAATGATAGAGAACAGGGACCACCACCACTAATCCCACATCCACATCCTCCCAACCCCTTACCCCCATAAATCAGACTCACTTTTCTGTTTGAATGTCAATGTAAAGGCACAGAATACTCAGATGGGGGACCTTCCGATTTAAGAAACCGTGACTGTTCAGGAGTGTACTGTTGCAAAATTGCTAAATATTACAAAAACTTTTTAAACAACTCCCCTGGGAAAGCCTAACTGCCTGGATGGTGAGACTGGGACATGGAAGGGGATGACATTTCACTGGTAGGAAATGAAATAAAACATAATTTTATCATTCATCCAGCCTTTAGGTAGCACCTACATAAAGTCTGTTGTTCCAAGGAAATCATTCCCTTATAGATTGGATCATCTGAGGCATAAGAGATATGGCCTCATAAGGGACTGTACCAGTCAGCATAGGTACCCCCATGGAAAAGTATTGAGGAAGCCCAGGGTATTCTGTGGGAATTGGGCATGTGACAAGCCATTTATGCCCAGGTGTTTCAAGGAGCTGAAAAGCAGTTTCTAAATATGGAATGAAAACAAAATGTTCCAACAGTACATTTCTTTTCTTTTACTCCTCAGTTTGATTTTTTTGACAGAATTTTTAATAATGTGGACAAGGTTGTGTTCAGCCTTGGAGAGACAAGATGGTCAG